ATTATTTTATTATTATTTTTAATAATAATAATAATAATATTTTTTTTTTATTAATATTATTATTATGGATCTTCTTCCATGCGAATAACCAAACACAGTAATGTAATATTCCTGAGAATTTGAAAAAGATTCATGTATGGAACTAAACACAGTAATGTATTATTCCTAGGAATCATATTACCCTCCATCACTTTCCTGAGAATATGATTCCTACTGATTCCCGCATACCAAACACCCCCTTAGTGTTTGCTTGTTTGGAAGGATTTCATGAGTTTGAATCTAGAAGGCAATTGAAATGAGCGTTTGGTTGTATATTGATTTTGGCTTTTGGGTCAACTTCAACCTAAAATTGAGGGTTTTAGAGCATCTTTAATGTAATATTATAATTAATATGTCAATTGTAAATTTAGTATTTGAGTGTAAAAAATACTCTCTAATAATACAGTGTTATTTGTTGTGTTAAATTTCTCATATGATATACTTTGTGGTAAATTTCTCACTAAGTATAGCATATGAGAAATTTAGCATTTGATTGATATTAGTTGAAATGTTTACTTTTTTATGCAATCATCGTAACTTAGCATTCTCTAATTATTTTAAAAATAAAATTTTATTTTATAACTTTCAAAGCTTAATACTTATGAGAAAAAGTAGATTTAACATTTCAAATAACATTACGCTTTGGAGTAAAAATGAAAATACATATCACATTATACTTTTTGACGTTAAATACACAAATAGCATTTACATTTGCATTAAAGATGATCTTACAGAACTTTGCACCCCTCCAAAATTCTTTAGGTTCTAACCCAAAATATTATTCACAAATCTAACTCAAAGGTTTTCACTAATTATTATCACTCACATTTTGTAAAAACTCATAGTTCTAATAATATAATTAAACACTTATTTAAATTTTATTTTCTGTTTAAACTTTACACTATCGAACGTCAATTTAAATTATAAAAAGTCACTTACATTTAAACCCACATAATTTTAAACTTGCAAAACAAATTGCACCTAAATACGGATTAAAAGGGAACTTATAGGTACTAGCATAGTTCGCCTTTGCCATTGCATAATTCATTTCAGCGGCTATCATCTCTCCCTCTCTCTCTCTCTCTCTCTCTCTCTCGATAAAATACACAAAACTCATGGATGAAGCGATCACAAAGGCTTTTAGGAGTAGCTTTCTCTTGGGTACACTGCATAGTTCTCAATATTACTCTTAACTGGTCCCGTTCATTTCGTTGATTCGAGTTTATAATTCGAGTTTTGCTATAGTAAAAAGCTCTCAGAAACAGTCACATCTAACTTTTTTGCTACAGTAAAAAGCTCTCACAGAACGTCACATCTCAACTCAAATTAAAAACTCGAATCAGCGAACTAAACGAGCGTCCATATCCCACTCTACAAATATAACATATATATATATATAGACTATCAAGAAGCTGGCAAATTATTGGCTGAAAGCCCTAGCTCTAGTTAATGTGCTAATTGAGTTTTATTATAGTAAAAAGTTTTAAAAAATAGTTTAAATAGTTTTATTTAATTTTTTTGTTAAAATAAATTTTTTTTTATATAAAATCACATCTCAATTTAAATTATAAACTCGAATTATCAAACTAAATGGTCCAACTGACAGAAACAAAGCACTTGATGGTCCACTATGCGGAATATGCACCATTAGCATTATATTGTTTTCACTCAGCTCTTGTATATAAGTTCGTATGCTTAGTTAGAAAAAGAAAAAAAAAAAAAAACAGCAGTGATCATCATCATTGATTTTTACAACTATTTAGATATTAATGCGACTCTGTGACTTTTAGTGTCATAATTTGTGGATTTCAGGTTTGACAATCCATATAATTAATTAAAACGTAGTAATATATGACAAATTCGTATGATTAATTAATTAAAATGTAGTGATCATGTTACTAGATTACTATGGTGTTGTTTTTCTCTTTTTGATCCTTAGTGTAGATGTAGAATAACAATTAGCATTCAACTGTGAGAAGGGAAGCGTTAAAAGCAAGCGAATTAGAATCAGATAAGGAGATTATACCCAAAAAAAAACAAAAAACAAAAAACAAATGAGCATGAGAATCGAGATCTCTTTACGGTGAGAATTCTTTTTTTATCATTTGTTTTAGTCGAACTTTTTAGCCAACAGCCCAACGCCAACCAGATACCGCGCTTCTCGACAGCAAGAAAAGTACATATTTAGTTCGCTGATTTAAATTTTTAATTTGAGTTATATTAAAATTTTATATTGACTGAAGATATTGACATGATCCACTTAATAAGGTGAGGACAATCATTCCTTAACAAGCCGATTTTATTAGGTTGAGTTAGGCTCAATATATTTTGATTTCTGTAAAATGGTATTAGAGCAGGCCCAGTTTTACAATATTGGGTCCCCCAATATCGACTTATTCGCAGCGGTTTGACATGGTTCACGCTGTACATAATGGGGCGTATTAGAATCCCATATTGGTTGAAGATATTGACATGATCCACTTAATAAGGTGAGGGCAATCATCCCCTAATAAGCCGGTTTTGTTAGGTTGAGTTAGGCTTAATATTCTTTAATTTTTGTAAAAAATTAAGATGTGATTTTATGTGAAATTTTTTTATTGTAATAAAAAAATTCAATGTGACTATTTTTTAAAATTTTTTTATTATAACAAAATTTAAATTTTAAACTCGAATCAGTAAAATAATCGGTAATAAATTCTTAAAAAGTTTGATACAAAGCATATACCTTTTGAATCGTCGTTTTATTGAAACAAAAAAAGAAGCATGTGTGTGTATATATATCCGTTGTTCTTTTTCATGGTGCTGGAAATGGAATCGGATTCTGTGTCACGCCTCCTTACCATTTTCCTTTTTATGAGTCAAAATTTAATAAATTTTTGCCCACATAAGCTCTATCTTTAGGACATATGACGAATGGGTACTATATACCTCTTTCTAGACCATTCATTTTACTTTTTTATTTTCTATTTTTTTATTCATTTGGTTTTACTCTATAGTCTCTACATCTATATATTTGGCATCACCAGCCACAACTACCCCATAATAACACTTTATTTCTTTCCTTCGCCCCTTCACTCAGCATAAGAAAATCCCAACTCTCTCCTGTAGACCAAAATGGTAAGAGATTAATTTCTTTATTTTTTTTTGTGTGGTTATATTAAATAGGAGTCTTAATTAGAGTTTCCCTCTAATTTACAGTCCCTTCTGTTTTAATTCCTCTTCTACCAATTACACCCTTTTTTTTAGCTCCTTGGTGAGAGTACTACTAAGCTCCAACTATTTTCTTTAATTTTTATTTTTCACTAGTCTCATGATATAAGCTTAATTTTCTTCTTCTTCTTCTCACTAGAATATCATTATGATGAGTCAATTATATGTGTAAAATCATCTTATGTGGTTATTAGTTTTCGTAATCTAAACACATAAGAGTCTTCACACAATTCATGTTAGACCAAACCTCTTAGATTTTTTTTCTCTCTCTTAAATGAAAGTGCATGGCATGGATCTTTTATCTTAGTTCGTATTTCTTTTTTTTTTTTTTTTTTCTGAAGAAGAAGAAAATATTTTTCAAGTGGATGTTGAGCATACGACATCATATATAATTATTGTCGTTTTGTAGGATGGAAAGAAAGAAAACCAAGGAAGTGGTAATAGCAAAGGCATAGCGGTGGGACCATGGGGTGGGAATGGTGGGAACAGTTGGGACGATGGGGCCTACAGCGGTGTTAGAGAAATCACGCTTTTTTATGATCGCTGCATCGATTCAATACGTGTGGTATACGATAAAAATGGTAAACCCGTCGCAGCAGAAAAACATGGAGGCATCGGAGGCTCTCGAACCGCTGAAGTAATTATTATTATTATTATTTTTAACCACTTTTTTCCCCTTTTATCCTGAAATACGTTTTTGTTTCATTAATGGCTTGAAACTAAACTTATCAATTTACCTGACTAAATCCTACTAAACAACCAACAAAAAAAAAAAAGCACTTTTTCTTCAATTTTTTTGGTTCTCTTTTTATATTCCTCAACAATTTTATTTTGTGATGTCATGACATGTTTTATCTTATATTTAATTATAATTCACATAGCATAGTGTTATTAAAGGGACGCGAAAAGGACTAGATAAAAAGAAACAAATAAATTTAACTTAGGAGACGTTTAGTTCATGTATTAAAATTATTTTTGATTTACGTGTATTTTTTGTGAGAAAAAATATTATAACGAACTATAAACTATGATTCAAATCATGGTATGAATTTCCTTACTAAACGTCTCCTTAGTTTTTAGTTCCTATCTTTCAACTCATGAATCATGACCTTAACACATGAATCCATTATCATTTGGTTTTTCTTTTATTATTATTTTTTTTCTTGGATATGTATTTCAGATTAAATTAAATTACCCAGAGGAGTACTTAGTGAGTGTGAGTGGGTACTACTGTCCAGTGGTGCATGGAGGTAGTCCAGTAATCCGATCGCTGACATTGAAGAGCAACAAGAGAACATTCGGACCGTATGGAGTTGAAGAGGGCACGCCATTCAGTTTTCCAATTCAAGGAGGTCTCATAGTTGGGTTCAAGGGAAGAAACGGTTGGTATTTAGATGCAATTGGGTTCCACATTGTATCTCATGCCCAATCTACAAAACTCATCGAGAGGGTTCAAAAGGGTTTTAGAAGGCTCGCTAGCACTGCCTCCTCAAAGCCTTCGCTGACAAGTACAGCCACTAAAAATATTTGAAGATGGTGCTTTGAGTTTGATTTTCGCATAGACATGGAAAGTATTACCTATTATGTATACAAAACAAATTATTGTGCTTGTGATTCTCTGTCTTTCTTTTTTATTTCATTTCATAAGTGAAAGTGAAACATCTAAAACTTCGAATAGCGCCATTATTATGTCTTTTTGCCTCAACATAAATGACACGCATATTTGATTGAAGCAACGGCATTAATTCCATTTTAATAAAGAAAAAAACTTGAGAAATTTGAATAAGCTGGGTTTAAATTATAGCAATTACTAGTATAAACATACAGTCCTGAAAAAGATGCATTGAAAATTTATTCCATTGAGATAATTATCACGATGATGAAACTATTCGTGATTAGAGTTCATCACACATATATTTGCCTTTCGATCCAAGGACATTAGGCAGGTACGTAGTAGCTAATGAGACATGCATGAACTGCGGCACCATTAGTAAACGCAGCAATGTCATTCTTAATCCCAAAGAAAAAAAACAATCCCGGTAGTTCCTCTTGGTAGAAAGAACCAAGGTGATTCTAATTATGATTCTGAAATTAAAATTATGATTCACGATTTTAGGTTCAAATCATAATTCTGAAGCCATGATTCAGAATCACCTTGAATCAAGATGAGAGGTAGTTTTAGAATAATAATTTGAGCTAGTTTAAAACATCACATTAGATTCTGAATCATAATTCTGAATCATCTAAACTAAACACTGATTCAGAATCATAATTCAAAATCACTTTAAACAAACACTGATTCTGAATCAGGATCTAAAGTCATGATTCTGAATACATCTACTAAATGCACCCAAAGTCTTCCAACATCGTGTAACTACTCTTTGGGGCCCACATATTTGACTATTAATTTCACATTTGACTATTAATTATAGAGTTCGAATCCACGCAATTGCAGCAAGTGAAAAAAAAAAAAAAAAAAAAAAAGTTCAAAAAGCTTGATTTCCCCAACCTCCAACCGTAGATTGATACTAGCTTTTAAACGTGTTTGATACCATTCAGCCTTCCTCGATTCTTACTCTTCCATTTTCAATATGATTAGTATAAACGTTAATCCATCCTTCGTTGCTGCTCATTGTATATATTTGATCATGTTTTACAGAAATTATTGGAATTTTAATTATTTGTCAAATTTTTATGTTTCAATTTGTGTCAAATTGATGTAATCAAGCTTCAGAGAATAAGGAAAAAAAAAACAAGAAGATAGTGTGTTGTCCAAATAGAGAAGAATTACTGCTAGCATCCTAAAGTATTTGTAATTTATTTTCTATTGTTGTAATTTCTGTTTTAAATTTTTTGTATTTCGTGCGCGCTGTAAAAATTATTTTTCTCTTTGATAATCATAAGTTTATTATGAAAATTAGAAAAACATGGAAGTAATTAACTTTCACGAGTCATAAAAGGTTCAGGCAACAAGCCAATGAAGAAGGCTGCGCACTTTCCACGTTGTATTGATAGTAATGTGAATTGATAACAAAATTTCCATCCCAACTTTAACCATTATAACAATGTGCCCCTCAACCTTCAAAACATAATAGTCGTTTCTCATAATGTACAAAATATTAACAAAATAACTCCTTCTATTAAGATTTTTAATGAAAATTGACGTACTTAATTAGCATGTGATACATAATCTAGGAGTAATTTAGTAACTCTATCATGTCTAAAGCTCATTTTTTGAACGTTGATACAATTTAAAAATCTAATTGTTAACAAAAATAAAGTAAAAATACCTTAAAAATTTATAGAGGATAATAATCTCTCATTTTACTTTCATGTGAAGGTACAAGAAAATGTTAAAAAAACTTAATAAAGAGAATTTTCTTTTTGGTTAAAATTTCATATTTGGGAAGAAGGAATGTTATATTTTTTGAAGATAGGAAGATAGAGATATAATATTAACACTATTATAATAGTTATAATTAAGAGGGAATTAATATTGGCATTAATTATGGGATGGGCATTTAGGGGATGACCTTGCTAAATGCTTCATCTAACAAGTTTGTCCAAATAAAATCTTCTTGAGTTTGATTTGCTAGATGCTTCATTGTTCAATTTGTTTTCGTTCATTTATAAACTTCCAAACATAAAAAATAAAAAGTCATTTTTGTTTGGTTAACTTTCGGCGCTTTGTCTTGACATTTATATTTAAAAAATAGAATCAGTTTTTTATCGTTAAATTTAATCAAAATCACATTAAATTTAAAAACTATACAAAACAATTAGTTTTAGTTTGATAGATATGTGACAATTAAAAAGTAGAAAACTACCGATAGTTCATTTTTTTCAATTCTACCAGAGAAATTTCTTAGACAAATTACATGGTCCCCCTCGAACTATAGCTCTTGTTACAAAATGCACCCTAAACTTTAATTTGTAACATTCGTTTCTCCCGAACTTTAAAATTCTTGAAAATTTCCTCTTCTGTTAAGTTTTTAACAAAATAGGACACTTGTTTGCACTGAGAGTTATGATATTAAATGTACAATTATAAAAATGTCCTTAAAAATGAATTTGGAGAGCACTCGATCAATACAAGCATTACCTAAAACAAAAAACAAAAAAACAAAAACAAAATAGAAAAATTGAAGTTGACCTTTCTTTTTCCTTCCTAAACTTTCTACCAAACCAAATGATCTTGTTCTATTTCAGCAGAGCAATAAACATTCAATGAAATTCAAGATCAGAAAATTTTCAATTCTTTTAAAAAGTACAAATAAAACAAACAGAGCCAACAACTCAAACATACTTAAACAACCATAGTCGTAGAGACCTAACGATCCGACGGTTGAGCAGAATCCTCAAAGGTTCCTTGAGCTCAATCCAAAAACCGAAGCCTTCTATTCCATTAGATTCAAACAGAGTTTTTAGCTTTCCTCGAACAAAAAAAATAAAAATCAAAACCTCCACCAAATTTCTTGCTTTTCCAAGAAGAAGGCGCATGGATGGAAAAAGGAGAGAGAGAGATTGTAAGGATGGAATTTTTTAAAGAAGTTTAAGAATGGATTAGGTTTAAGTGGATTAGGTTTAAGTTAATTGATGAATTTGGGTTAAAATATATTAAAATGGCCATGAATTAAAAATTATGTTTATTGCTGCTTTATACTAAAATGCCTTATATTCCATTAAAATCTTAACAGAAAAAGAAAATTTGTAAAAGTTTTGATGTTTAAAGAGAATAAATGTTACAAATTAAAGTTTAAAAATATTTTGTAACAAGAGCTATAGTTATAGTTTAAGGAACTCGTGTAATTTATCGAATTTTTTTTTTTATTTTAAAAAAACACTTCTTTGTCTTTACCCGAGTCATCCGCGTGACGACAGCTAATAAATGCAATATGATATTGACTGATGAGATCACACATTCACACTTCTATCCATTGGGTAGTTGGAAGAATTAATTCTTGGATGTGTTGGTGTGTCCAAGTAATAAGTAATGCATCGTATACCATAAAAAACGATGCAAGACATTTGATAGGAAAAAAAAAAAAAATCACAAACGTGATCGGGAATATGTCACTCTTATCAAGTATTGGATATTTTAGGTGCTCCTAGCTAAGGTCATATCTGTAGTGTAAAACAGTACATTAGTAGCATGTTTATCTATTAAGAGTAAAGAATGAGAATTGAGAATCGAAATCAATCTTATGTTTATTTAAGGCCCGTTTAGTTTGTTGATTTGAGTTTTTAATTCGAGTTGAGATGTGATTTTATGTGAGAGCCTTTTACTGTAGCAAAAAAGTTAGATGTGACTGTTTATGAAAACTTTTTACTGTAGCAAAACTCGAATTCTAAACTTGAATCAACGAAATGTTACTTATTCTTATCTTAAAATGAGAGTAAAAATGTATGGGTCCTACACCAATTTAGGATTGAGTAATGAGATTGGCACTCCTTCCACTCTCACCGGATTGGCATTCCCAATCCTAATAGTAAATATAAATTACGATTTTACCCTTAATTCTACTAATAAATTTGTGAATAGAAAAGAAAAAAGAAAAAAGTTAAAAATGCCCTAATTTACTTTCACGCCTCTCGTATCTCCTTGCTCACTTCCTCTGATATCAATGTAAATTATTAAATGAAACTAAAATAGTTTTTTTCATGCTTATAATTTGATTCTTGTGTTATGCTTATTGCTTTTCATTTTTCAATCTATATCCTAAGCTGATTTTTATTTTTTATAATATGCAATGCAATGCTAAATCTAATTTTATATGTTGATAATGTAGAGTAACCATGTCTCAACTTTTAGCACGAAAGAAGAGAGTGATTAACGAAATCTAATTACTAATTAGTTATCATAATTTAGATGATTAATTAGGTGTGATTAAAAAAATCTAATTACTAATTAGTTATCTTAATATTAATATTGTTAGCATAATATACAATTTTTTTTTAAGTTCAACACACATAAATCTACTAAAAGGGTAGGTAAGTAAATTTATAACAGTTTATTCCAATTTTGGGCTTAAGTAAACACATGAATGAGATCAGAAGTGATTCTGACTCCGATTCCTGTAACCTAAGGCCTCGTTCATTTCACCGATTCGAGTTTTTAATTTTAGGTTTCTACAGTAAAAAGTTCTTAGAAAATGTCACATCTAACTTTTTCTGCTACAGTAAAACGCTCTCAGAAAATGTCACATCTCAGCTCGAATTGGAAACTCGAATCCGCAAAGTGAACGAAGTAAACAGCTTATTCTGACTCCGATTCTTGTCCACTCTGAATCTTGTCTACTCCGATTTATGTCCACTCCAATTAGTAAATGTGCCATGGAGAATATAAAAACAACATACTTTATGTATATGTTATTTTATTTTATGTCGCAATTCGTAATATAAGCATTTAAATTTGACATAGAAAAATATAAAAAGCAACATACATGCTATATATACGTAATATTAATAAAATCTTATATCTATTTTTTCTTTATTTTCTATATTTAATTTATTTTATAATTATCCACTTTAAAAATTGTAAAAACTAAACCTTTAATTTTTTTAAAAGGAAAATACTATAATTGTTAAATGAAAGAGTCAAACCAAATATCAAAATTTAGTTTTATTATATTTAATGCTAAAGTTTGTATAAATTTAGCATATATCAAATTTAATACTAAAAATAATATTTGCATGTGACTTATATTTTTTTTTATCCAAATGCCAAAAATTAGAATTAAAATATTAATTTGACACTTTATGTATTGGAGATGCTCGAAATTATGTAGAAATACAACATAAAGGATGGCTATCAAATTATGCATTCAAATATAACATTTCTTGAGATGACGGACCATTCCTTCCAACACTACCGGCAAACCAGGAACAGTTGGGAAAACTTGTTTATGTCAATGCCTAAAAATATACATGTTGCTGTAACAATACCGACAATATATGTTGCCGACATTTCTATCCGATATCCATATAGTTATAATCAACAACTTTGTTTACTAAATATTCTGGTAATTATTAATTGTTGCGGTCACACAATTCTTAATGCAAGAGTGACCTGTCTAGCACGAGAAAATTACGAGCCCGTTTAATTTGTTAATTTGAGTTTTTAATTTGAGTTAAAATGTGACTTTATGTGAGAGCTTTTTATTGCAATAAAAAAGTTAAATGTGATTATTTCTGAAAACTTTTTACTATACCAAATCACGAATTTTAAACTCAAATCGGTGAAATAAATGGAGCCTACGTACGTTATCATAGAGTAGATGGCAATATCAAGTGAGCTAGTCGATGTTGTTTGTTGAAGTGCAAGTGACCCACCTAATAAATTTTGCCGGGTGCACTACTTGATGTCAACGGAAATATTGAAGTTTGGATTTACGATGAAAAGTAAAATACAAATATACATGTCTACATAAAAATTAGATTAAGTAATTTTATAAGAAATGCAAAAAATGCTATATAAAAATTGAATTTAAAAATACCCTATTGTTGTGGATAAGATTGTGTGTGTATAAGGAATATATGATCAATATAACGAACATAAACGGAATATATAAGGTAAAAAGCATTTGAACTCATTTTACACTGCAAATCAAATAAATATAGTAGTTTATTATTATTATTATTCTTATTACGATTAATCATTGTTATTTTGATTTTGATTTTCTTACTTTCTTTCTTAAATGTCTTTTTCTTAATGTATAGCAAAATGATATTTATTTAGTGGGATAAAATCTCATACACACAAAATAGTGAATCTCACCTACTCATTTAGCGGAGCTTAATAGTGGGATTATATGTACACACATACATTCTGGATATTATTCGTTACAAGGCACCGGTATAAAGTTTTTTCCTTCCCATCTGAATACTCGTATGAAATGGGAAGGAAAAAACTTTATACCGTACCATAATATCCAGAATGTATATATATATATATATATATACACACACACGACAAAAGCTTAACAGAAATATCTTTAATTTCTATCTTATTCGTATGGTCCCGGCCTGTGGCTATTATTGGAAAATATCAACAACGTTACTTCATTGGCACCACAAGATACAAGTAATGATATCATTTAAAAAAGAATCAATTTATTTAAGAAGACTCGTGCCCCTCAAAGATTGTATTTTTTTTTCTTCAGAAAAGGAGGTAATATTGAAGCATATATGTATGCTTAAAAATGCTTCTATTCTTCTTCCTCGCCAGTACTGTACTTGCGGCAAAAGCCCAAGCAGATTTCAATAATCCTCTTATAAACAACCTAATTTACCTTCTCCGACCGCGATACGGTTCCGGCGGCGGCGGCAATGGAGTATCGTGCCTGAGTTGGAGATTCGGCGTCGAGACGAATAACATCATTGACTGGAGCACAATTCCGGAGAAATGTGAGCTCTATGTAGGAAACTACATGCTCGGCGAGCAGTACAGAAAGGACTCCGAAGTGGTTATTAAGGAAGCTTATCTCTACGCCACGAGCCTCAATCTTTCCAAAGATGGCAAGGACGTGTGGATCTTTGATATAGATGAGACTTCACTCTCCAACCTACCTTATTACGCCAGACATGGATTTGGGTAAGTAGTCAGATTATATATATAAACATATATATACATACACATACACTAGTGACATTACAAGTAAGTATAAATATTATTCGTCCCCTGGCTTTCCTTCTAGAGAAACAAAAATCGAAGCGGACCTAATATGTGTTTCGCTAATTTTGTCATGGTTGTTTTAATCACATGGTTAAACAAATTTTTTTTTTTTTTTTTTAAAAAAAATAAACTGCGAGAGGGAGACATAGTTCAACAAATATTATTGAACTAATTTATAAACTTGGTTTCCATTTTTAACCTAAGACCTTAAGGTGCGTTTCGTTAGGTAGAAAGGAGAAGAATCGAATGAAATAGAATTTAAATTTGATGTTTAGTTGCATATATAAGAAATGAATGGTCATTCAAAAAGAATGACCATTCACCCATTTTGGGTGAATCATCATTCCTTTCTCACATAGAAAGAATAGTCATTCTAAGTTTTTTTCTTTATTTTTTTTCCATAATTACCTTTCAATATTGTAATATAATTAAAATATATTATATAATAGTTATATATTATAATATTTAAAATAATATAATATATAATAAAATATTATAATATAATATAGTTATAATAATATAATAATTAATTTATAATATAGTTATAATTATAATATATTTATTTAATAATCTATAATAA